AAACAAACAAACAAAAAAAAAACCCATCAAAATGTTTGCTGCAGCCCAGCCAAGATTGTGCCCACACAAACAATGGTTTTCACTCCCCAGGATGCTCCATTATCCTGACAAAGCTCTAAAGCTCTTCTGGCCAAAGCAGTGTAGATGCCTCTGCACTGCTGCACCAGTGCTAAACCACACACACTTCTGTTGCTTCAGCCTCTACTGTAGCTGCAGGTTTTGGGTTTGTTTCTGTGGAAAATCTCTGGAAACTAGAGCAGGAAGGGCTGCTGCAAGGCTCAGGGGCATTTAGAAATCCTCAGTGAAATGCTGAGTCAGATTTAATGAAGAAGTTTGAGTTGTGTAAAACCATGATAAAGGCTTGTGCAATTTGTACCAGGTTAATTGTGCACTGTCTATTCCTTTATGACATTTTAATGCTCTATAGAGTGATTGAGGCTCTTCAGCAAATCATACAGAGATATTCCTCAAGGTTTCCCTTAGAGTTTCCTGCATAGAGGAAGAGGAGTCTTGCAATGAAGATGTGATGGAGGAGATTACTGTTAAGTAAAGATAATGTGAGGACTTATGAACCTGACTAAATTTAGGCCCCCGAGATGCCTTTTAAGCCCCCAGATGCCCTAGATGCTTAGAATCTCAATAAATAGGACATTCAAAATAAAACACTGAGCTGCTTTCCCTGCCACAGACTGTTTCTGGCACTGGGCACATCACTCCCTTGTGCTGTCTCCAATCCATTCAAGAAGCCTGCCTTGCACTTTGCAAAGGGGTTCTGTCTCTTCTAGTTAGCATATGCTTAAACAGGAAACTGCAATAATGTTATTAACAGAAGCAATTTTAAAAGTACCTCACCACAGCTCTCAGCCAGAAGATCAAATTAATTAATCAAATTAATCACAGGTTGAAGAAAACCATTGGGATTTGCACCCACAACTTTTTCACTGCCTTCACTGTCTGGCATACCAGAGCCCAGCACAGCATGCTCTGGATAGCTCTGCCCTCCCACCCGGCACAGCAGTGTTTGAATTTTCCTTTCCCTCAAGAAAATGAGTGAGGTTTTTGCACTGATTTTGCTCTGTGGGTTTTGTTGTAAGAGAAGTCAGGTTGAAGGCAGCCTTTTTACTGCATGGAAGCCTTGGGGCCTGACAAAAACCCTGTTGTTTTCATGTTTTGCATCTGATTTCTGTGCTGGAGGGAGAGGGAAGGATAAAGCAAGGCTTCCTTGAGATAAAAACTCTATCTGCAAAGATGGTTCAGATGAGAGGTAAAGGCTTCCCAGCTACCCACAGCTGCAGCACACAGCCCTCAGGAAATGGCACTCACTTACTTCCAAATCTCCCGAGCGCTTCAGCGCTGAAGGCTTTGTCCAGCAGCCGGATCTCAGCCAGCGCCTCCTCTTCTCCCAGCAGCAGGCACACAATCCTCTGGCCAAGGAACCCCCCTGCCCCTGTCACCAGGCAGCTCACCCCAGCCAGGGACATGGCTCTGGCTGCTCCTCGCCGGTGAACTCGCTGTCTCTTGAGCTTGGTTCTCCTCCTGCCTGAGGGAAGGAACATATGACATCAACCTCTGGAAACACTACAAATCAAAGGGTGTTACCAGAAGGAGAGACTACTGACAAACAAACTTTAATCCCTACATCAAACAATTTTGAAGCACCTCTTACTCTTGCTAGCTATTTCTATTCAGAAGTAGTCTACATACTTTTTCCATGCAAAGAAAACATTCTTACAAATCATTACAAATCAGTTCAATTAACAAATCTGAAAGCGCTCAAAATCAACTTCAATGCCAAACAAACCCCACAGAAGTCTGCCTTGAGTCTCGGTTCCACCTCCCTAGCACTCAGAAGACTGTGGGGGAGATTTGCCTGTATTTATATCCTGCTGGGCACCACCTCGGGTTATTTTGCTCCCCTCCCTCTTGAGTGCCTCCTTTGCTGCAAAAGAATGTGATACTTCTACACCACTCCCACCAAAGAGGAAGGCTCTGGATACAGTGGGGTCTGAGCCTAGGTGTGATCCTGCATCCTTAAATCCCCAGGGAACAAACCCTCATGTTCATAATTCTCTTCAGCTGCACTTGCTTGTGCAATACAGTGCCAATATCGTGCCAGTATTGAAGAAAGGGAGCATTTAAATCAAATGTAAAGAGAAGACAAGATATTTAATGTGGTTTGAGGGGTGAATTCTGCTGCTGTATATTTTCTGGATATTGGGCTCCCCCATTATAGCATGGGTTTCTCATTCTCTCTGTGCAAGATCAGAAACTAACCCTGGGGATTTTGTATTTGTTCAGTATACTACAGGCATTTGAAGAAATTAAATTGTTTAATGTACCATCCAAGTTAAATTCAAGCTGCAGGAGGGAAAGATTCACCTCTGCAAATGTCTTGTGCAAGAGTACCTATTTAAAGTAAGGCTGTTTGTGCCTCTGCAGTGATCTGTGTCATTACTGCTTTACATCCCCAACATGCAGGGAAAATGCCCAGGTGTTTCTCCCTGGAATTCCACTCCAGTTCCAGCAAAACTGTTTTGTAGTGTGAGACCAGGGCAGGGCATTAGCCTGAGCCTCCTGGGTCTGTCAGGACACACTGGCTGCAGCTGTATTTTCTCTCTCTCACACACAGGGATAGGCTGACATCCGTGGTGAAGCAGGATGATAAATAGGGACATGCTTTGAGCAACAAGGAAGTTACAAAGAAGCCCAGCAACAGAATTAATTAGGCTGAAATCATTGGAAAAGGGATCCCTGGTTTGGGGCATAGCTGGAATGGATCTCTAAAAATGCTTTGTTTCCATTCATGCCACTAACTGCTAAGCTCCTTTTTTTATTCTGTACATGGGTTTTGTTCACTCTTTAAAGAGAGCTCTGGAGAAAAGCTGTAGAAGAAGCATCCCCACACTGTTACTTTTTTAGAACAAAACTGGGCTTGCAAGTGACAGGAGGAAAGCAAAACCACTTCTGTTGGAGGAGAAAGGTTTCTAGCTGACACAGATGACAAAGTTTTGGCAACTGTTTAAATCCCAGAGTCCTTGAAAATCTGTTCCTTAGCCCAACAAAGCTTTAAAAAAATTGTTATCAGTGCTTCTTTCCTTGACTTTTCACAGTCAGGACCTTGACATTGTATATTCTTATCAGAAGCTGCTGCAAATTAATTTTGTGCACTTTGCAAGGAAAAATAACTGGCCAAATCTGCTGCTCCAAGCAGCATTCTCTGTAACAAAGCTTCCTTTTTGCTTTCAAAAAAGAAATAAAATGCTTTAAAGAGGCATTGTAATAGCCTCTTAGGACAGAAAACACTCTCATGCACCAAGCTTGCCTATCAGAATGACCAAGCTTAGCAGGGGTAGTGCTTAGAACATGAGTGCTTCATAGGGGACTGCAGGGAGATTTACTGCTACTGTGCTTTGTCTTCTTAGGTAGTACTCAGACAAATGCTTAGCTTAGTTTGAGGGAATTTTACACATCACTGCATAGCAGCCTTCTTCTGAATTGCTGTGCGTGAATGTCAGTGGTCAGACAGCAGCAATTTGCTCAACTCCAGCTCAGACCTACTGCTCCTTCCTGCAGTCTCACCTAGAGACAATTTTCACCTCTTAGTGCATGGTGACATTGCTGCTGGGGTTGCTGAGTGGCAGGCCAGCTCCTCCTGTGCAGACAGGACTGGCTCTGGTGTTCCCCAAAGGATGTGGAGGCAGATGCTGGAATGGGCTGCACACCCCAGGACGGCGCCAATGAGCAACAAAGCCAAAATCCACCAGACCCCAGCTCTGATGAAATTCAGAGTTATTGCACAGGACTTGCAGACTAAAACATAATTGAGCAGAATTTGGAAAGTTTATCAAGCTGTGTCAAGGCATGGTCATTTTTTAGCCATGTTGATGTCTTCCTTCTCTTTGACTTCATTGTAAAAGGAAGCCAGCACAATCTGGTATTTTGCTGTGGAACGGACTGCATTACTAAGAGCATCATTTTAGAAAATCAGAGCTTGTGAGTTCTGATGAGTGTTGGAGAAATGCTATACATGGACTAAGGGGATAGCTTAGTATATGTGCAATGAACCATGTCCCATTCCAGCCTGGCCCAGAAACAGTTGCTCCTCTGATTTTACTTGTGCCCACTGTGACAGATATTTTGGGGCAATGACTGGCAGGTGTTAGAGAATGCATTTTCTTAACCTTGTCACAAGAGGAAAAATGGATTGGGAAGGAGTGTAGGGGAGATGAGGAGACAGAAAGAGAAATAGTGAAGGGAAAATTCCCAGCAGCATTAGGAAAAAAACTGTATCATGGTATTGGAATGGGCATGGAAGTTTTATAGGATAAAAGGTACTTTAACAGAGGGCAATGCTGTTTAATTATGGAATTGGGTAAACTGATTTTGCTATCAATCAGGGTATCCTGAATTAAGAAAGGAAGAACAGATCTATTTGTCCAGAAAGGATTTTAATTCAGGAAAAGGTTTCTGAAGTCTGGCCTGTTGCCCAGATCTATGAGAACTGAAGCAGGGAAAAGCAAAAGTAGAAAAAGCATACTCATTATTTAGCTGGAGCTTTTGATTTCTAAATATAGAGTAATTGTGACCAAACACACACACACACACACACACACACACACACACACACACACACACAAAATTCCATGTTTCTTCTCATGTGAAAAATTAACAAAATTAATGTGTTTCTCTACCACTGTATGCCTGTAAGCTGGTATGCTGGGAGAGAGGCTGGACTTTGAAATGTAGATTTACTCAAGGAAAACTTCTGCCCTTCAGCATGGGAGGCACTGTTCCCTCCTGGAAACATTTCCCTCTCTTCTAGTTATACATTGACAAGAGAGGAAAATATTTAAATAATTAACTTGTGGACAACTGTCCTGTACTGGACTCTGAATAAATGCAACTTCTCATAGTGGAGAAGAGTTGTAAAACACTTCAATCAAAGTATGAAGAAAATCACCTTAAGAGACCTCAGTGTTTCTTGTCTTCAAACCTGACAAAGATAATATCTCCTTTTTCAGAAATACCAAAATTCTTCCAGTAGAATGGAGATTGTAAACATTTCTGACATTATCTCCAAGATCAAAAAGGCTTCTTGCAGTAGTCTTTGCCATATTAGACAGCACATGATTTGGGCAATTAACTAGAAACAAACATTTAGTCTCCTTTCCCTTTTGTTTTAGGAAGAACTCTATTTCCTCAGGTGAAATTGATGAGTGACTCATATATTTAAAGGCTGGAGAAATTTGCATCATATGCCAAAAAATGTTTGTTTGGATGCATTTTGTAGATGAACTACTTTGCAAGTAGGCTGTATCTCTGTCCCATCCTCCAGGGATGCTGGGAAGCAGCAGGGTTTGATTGGTCCTTAAGCTACATGTTTACAATCTTCAAGGACAGTTTTTTGGTAAGATTCAACCTTGCTTGAATGTGTAGCAGACATCAAGTACATAAAGCAGAACTTGGTGCAGACAATGGGGCATGAAACTTTGGTATGTATTGGCTTAGGCCTAACCCAGACCATAGACAACTTTCAATATTTTGGGAAAACTGGGCTTGTTAAATAGTCTCTCACCCTGATTGAACCCTGTGACCTCTATCTTTAAGTTCACTCACCAAATATCTTTGTTCTTCACTCAGAAAATGCTTTCTTGCAGCCTTTCACAGAGATGCATGTGCTGCCCCTGCAGCTCCATGTAGCTGGTCATGGCAGCACGGTGGAATGGCAGGGTACAGATCTCATGTGCAGCTCCTATTTTGTGACTCTGTGATATCCTCCTACCATTCAGATTAAAGGCAGCCTCTGGAGATCTCTGTGCTCACCTCTTCTCACAGCAGTGTCAGAGAGGTTGTCCTGGACCTTGCCTAGGCAAGCTCTGAAGATCTCTAACAATGGAGGTTTCACAAACCCTATGTTGCAGTGTCTGACTGCCCTCATGGTGTGTTTTTTTCTCCCACTGATTTCTGCCTGGAATTTTCCTAATTGCAATTTGTGCCCATTGCCTTTCACCCTTTTACTGCACACATCCAAGAAGTTGGCCTGGATCTTCTCCAAATGAGTAGTAAAAGGCAGTGATGTGATCCCCCCTCCCCCTCCTTGCCTTTAGCCTTTGCAGGACTGAGCACTCCCAGTTGTCTCATTCTCTTCTTGTGCATCCTTGAAATCCATCAACTTGTGTGATGTGCTGTAATTCCCAAGTCTTATCTGCCAGGCTGTCAGTCTGTTGACAAGGTTTATTGTTACTGGAACAGAGAGGAAGGCCTCCATGTGAAGGCCTCTGGAACATCACTGCAGACACTGTTATCTCTGAGAGAAACTGAAGTCTAAACAGAGTAAGCTAACAGGGTGAGTTTCTTCCTTCTGCCTCCTTTGGGCCAATTTAAAGTACGCTTTATGCAAAAGGTCACCTTTTGGTAGCATGGCCCCCCCTGCACATGCCAGGGAAATGGGTATCAGGGTATCTGCTGGCTCCAAAGCAGGGTGAGGCAGAGGGGTTGCACCACTGGAAAAAAGAGCTGGCTCTTTCCCCACAA